TGTCGAGGGTATGAGAATCACTGTTGTTATGTGTAGAGCGTTGTTGTCATGTTTGATAGGGAAACGATGTTCGTTAGAGATTTTATGTGCAGCCGTATCGTTTGTGTGAGAGTGTTGTGACGTAATTGTGTAATGGGAAGTGACGCGTTAGTTTTCGTTGTGGTTAGAGAAGAGTGATGGCGGATGTGCTACATTGACTGTTGTGGATTGAATACTGCTAAGTGTTGTGCTGAGAGAATTGATGGAGAATATACTGGCAGAAGTGTTTGGATTGGTAAATTGATTAATATTTGGTTGGAGTGATTTATTATCAAATTCTGAAATATACATCAAGTCTTGTTCATCGAGTGGTGATAAATAAACTTTCGTTTACAACAAACCGGTTGCTGTTTGTTGCATTGGTGACTGTTTGTGTATGGTGTGCTGCTGAACGGAGTGCAGTGAAAGACTGTGGACATACATAAGAATCACATCGCGACAGATGCATTCCCCCACGGATAAGAGAGACTCATTAGAGAGAAGATGCATGACTAACTTTCCCTGGCATTTCCTAAATACTAGTTAGGGCCCTTCAATAGTAAGCAGCAATAACAATCAAAGTCAAGTACTTACTCTATTTCATATTTGTTCCAAGAACTTAAGACTTGTGTTAGTACTTTTTATAGTACTGTGATAGATATTGTTAAACCTTTATTAATTTCTTTATCATGTGTAGATTTTCTATATCTTTATTATGTTCATTGCATTCAATGAAGTACATCTTTATTAGAGCACTGATTGTCTTCATTTTAGCCAGGAGTGTGTCTAAATCTACCTGTGTCACATAACAACTGTTAATGAGACTCTGAACAAATCTAGACATTATTATATTTTAGGGCCCACGATTAATGTGTTGCTCATTCTGGCTCTAGTTTGAATTCAGAGTTTTCCTTCTCTTAGATGAGCTGCCGTCCAAGGCTAACGAGTCTTGGGATGTTGGCTTTGGTGGGGATTGAACTCAAGACCACCAGCTATTTATTTTGAGACAATTTAGATCGCTCGGCCACCCAGCACCATAAAGGGCAAAGATTTAATGTACTGCAATAATTAATCAATTGAAAAATGTTTTAAAAATATTAATTATTCATTTAGTAAATGAACTTTTTTACAATTTCTTTTTTGTTTATAGGGTTTTGTATGTGGTTATAATAAAAAATAAGTCAAGTCTAAGTTGCATAGCGAAGCATATATATTGTATGGCATCTTTCCGTCTGCGGGAGACCGATAGATTATCTTTATTGCTTGCAGCTCTTGGTGTGGCTGGTGAGACCAATCCTCGAATGGCAGTCTCTGTTACATTTCCCACACATGAAGCTTATATACATTTTTAGTTAATAATGCCCATATGTTAACAATACTTCATTGTTCAAAATTTTCTTTTTAATTTTTTCATGTTAACATAAACATTCTGAAGTCATAATTCTTTGACAAATAAATCTTAATCTTTTTAAAAAAATTAATAATAAGATAACCGACAAAAAGCCATCTTAATAAAAATGAAAAACAAAAGGGCCAAATAAATCAGAGTAAAATGTGCGAGTCACAGGAAGTATTTAGTTTAGATTTATATGAAGAGTTTAAAATTAAAATTCTTTATTGAAAAATTCCAGGATCTGAAAAGAAAATGAAAACAGAAATGAATATGAATATAAATATCAAACATTCACAGAGGCACATTAAAAAGAAATCTGCTGGGAAGAAAATGAAAGTCCAGCTTATGACATGTAATGTCAATATCAAAAAGTACCGGTAGTTAAACATTTTTATTTTTTTACTTCTTTCAGTCTTTATGACATACAGATTACAGCCAGGACACACAAGCAGAGGCGTAGCGAGGGGGTGGCAGGGGGGACATCTGTCCCCAGGCGCCAAAATGTGCTTTGATATTATTTTATTGATGAAAATAATGGGTTTGAGAGTTGAAGAAAAGAAAAGGGGGCGCTTTAAAATGGATCTTGTCCCCGGGCGCAAATCTTTTCCCCGGGCGCCAAACACCCTCGCTACGCCTCTGCACACAAGTAAACTTTTCATCTCGTTTTATTAAACTTGTTTAACGATGCAGTAAAATAAAAAGTAGTATATGACACCGGTAGTTGACAACCTTTGACCATGAATGATGAATTTAAACCAAGTTAATTCTTTCTTAAGTGGTGTATCTAAAATTACAGGCTTGGTCCTGGGCACACAATTTCAAAAGAAATGAACTTGTAAAAACATTGACTACTTTGGATAACTTTAAAAACATCAGTACATGTCCTAATAAAGTATTAGTATTTTTTGGTTAGGGGGTGTGTATCTGTAAGAAGTTCAGTAGAGTTACTTTCCATTCACAATGCTTGCCTGGTTGCAACAACCTAGATCACTCATCACTACAAATTCTTAAGCACTTTGAAAAGTGAGAAAAAATAACTAGCCCGCTTAAGAAATTCCTCAAGTAGTAGATCAAAACAAACTTTGCTTTAGAAGTCAGTTATATTGTGATGCTACTATCTTGCAATCTTTTTTTCAATGTTAATGTGGAACTTGGATTTATGGAGACAATAGGTCAGTGCTGTGCTGGAGCCGGTTAGTAAATGTTAACTATTTATTCCATCTACAGAATAATTGTTGCAAAAATGTCACAATAATAAAAACAATATCATAAACTCTAAAATTCAAACAAATAGAAATGTTTTTGAATTATTTAAACAAATTGGTTATTAGCACCCGGGTATCAGAAGTGAGAGGTTGGGATTAAAAAACTATTTTAAATATTATTGGTGGGTTTATAAGTCAAAATGAGGTATCAAATGAAAGATAATTTTTAGATAGACTATATTTTTGTAAACTTCTTCTTCTTCTATATCTTAACTAAAATAAACTACCACAAATGACATCCGAATGGGATTTAGTCTAAAGGGACCCGGGTCCAAATAGCGGCTATGCGTACAAGAATCCACAGCATTCATTATCATAGCCTTGAAATTGTACAAAGTTAATTCAATAAATTAAATTAAACAATAATAAATAAAAGTTTATTAACAAAGGAATGTTCTAATCTGAGTAATCATAATGCAGCCTTGCATGTTCTAACTTGAACCCCTAACTGTTTCAGTATATCCTTGAACACAAATTGTCTTCTGTCTTCACTGTGAGAAAAGTGTGGAATGCATGACTTCATGTGCGGGTTTTCTTTGTCAAGTAAATGAAATGGGAATTCCAAATGCACACCAGAGAGAATAGCTGTGCCTCGTCCTACAGAACACTGAACTATAGCCATGGCTTTGCTCTCTAAAGAACAGTATATTCCTAGATCCTTGTGGCTTTGTTCGGCATATATCGACAGATCACTGGTTTCCCTGGGTTGCAATGTTAAATGTGGACTCAAAAGAGAACTGCCCCTTGGTATTTTTGATGAGTCTAATGCTAAAGGTGCAGAAATAGCTGTTGACTGGTGAGTCTCCACAAGTATTCTCTTATTGTGTTGTAGTTTGCTCAGTTTTGGTTGGGGGACTTGTTCCATGGATTTTTTAGCATCCAAGTATGGCATAAAGTATCCACCCCCATGCATGTATGCATGAAAGGTCTCTGACTTTCCATACCTAACAGGCACAGCTTGCACACCTTGTTTGGAATTATACTGGAAGCCTGGAAAAGCTGGACCAACACAAATGCCTGTAGACAAAAATTATGGGCCTTACATTTTAATCAGGTGCCTTGCTGCACATTGAATTTGAATTATATATAGTTTGGTAACTTTTGACAACTTTCCCAAACTTTCTTTCTTTTATCCCTTATAATAAAAAAATACTTCCTCTTATTAGTTAAGTTAAATTCCTTTCTAATGTAATCCACCAGTATGTTGTCAGTTCGAGGGTTGGTTTTAAAGATCAGCACCCTTTCATTTGTGAAGTATAGTGGAAAAAGATGGCAAAGTGAACATAGCTAATGAAACAGTATGGAATTTTAATAATGTGAGCATGTTTTTTTTTTATAAAGAAAGATACAACTTAAAGTTACTGAAGAATTTAACACTTACCAGGAAAAAATTTGAGAAATCTTTCCCCTGTTACTTCTAGGGGTCCGCCTTTATCAAATTCAATATGGTCACAAGCCCAGTATGCTCCAGCACATAAGCCCAGATAGTGACCACCATTAATAACAAACTCACGAATCTTTTGAGCCCCATCTCTGCCAACTGCTGATTCGAATCCACGATCATATCCTCCGCCAAAAATAATCACACTGCAGTTTTTCAACCACAAACCTAAATGGAGATATGTGTTTGTAATTAGGAATTAGTTTAAAAGAAAGAAAAATTCTTTAGTTAGTTTAATCTATTTAACAGAAACTTTGAAAAAGAATTAATTTTTCTTAAGAGCCAAATTAGAAGTTACAAATTACGTGAACAGAACAAAACACTGTACATTTTGATGAAAGACATATTTCGTATCTTTTAATCCACTTATTTAGCTAAGCGTTAAGTTTAGCACAGTCCAACCCTCTTCATTAACTTAAATCACACAGTAACATGACTTTTTCCCTCTCATTACTAGTTCACTAGCTTTTTAAAAAATTTTCTTGGTACCGGTCCAGTAAAAATGAGTGGGCATTTGCTTATTTTACTTAAAAATTCCCACCTAAATTACCAATAATATTACCAGGTGTAGTGTAACATTTATTTATTTATTCAGGCATTTTTTAATAGCGCTTACCTTACAGCTCTAAGCGCTTTACAATTATTAAAAATATGTAAACTATTTAAACATACTGTTCCCTGGCAAAATTCTCACCTTCTTTGATAGCTTGCGGTGTGATATAGTCAACTGTATGATGATCCTTATCTATAACTGCGTTTAATGACTCAAATAAGAATTTTCTACTCTCAGCATCACTGCCTTTGCCATTATACACAAGAACTGACATTTGTTTGGCCCTTGCACCACTTACAGTCTAAAAAGAAAAACTTTATTATTTAAAGAAAAGAAAAAAATGTTAAAATCTTTTTTTATTTTTAAACATAATAGGGTCAAAAAGTGTTTCATTATCAGTCTTGTCATAAACAATTATTATAAATAAAATACCATAGGGCCTGGGAATACAAACAACTTGGAATCCAAAAGAAAATGTCTAGCCAAGTTTCACTTGAAATCCAAACATTGCTTTGGAATCCGAATGCCCAGCACTTCCTTCATGTGTTTTTTGCTCGTACATTTCCCCAGGGCTCGGACCATCCATACATTTATTCTCAATGTTGTAGCAAAAGCCTTTAGTGATTTTTGCTGTTTTAAATCTGATTTTTTTAAATATATAAAGCAACTTAGAGTATTCACCATGGGTCTGAAATATTGTAGTGAGGAAAATATGAGTAACAGGACAGCTGTTAATTGCAGTTGAGGAGATCTTTTGGCTATACATGGAATTGGCACATATGTGGCTGATCTCACTACTATGTTTGGTGTGCCTGAATCAACTGTATTATTTTGAAAAGTAGCTATCAAAACAGCTGATGTGGCAAAAGAGGTAAGGACACTAACATCTAGGAGATACAAAATTATGGCAAAAATGGAAAAAGCTCCTCTTAGTTTGGATAATGAAAAACAGCTGGATAGCGATGTGATTTCCTAGCCTCCAAGGTGATAATTTGTGACAAAGCTGAGGTCCTCCACAATGATTTAGTGAAAGGCATGCCTAATACTCGTGCTCAAAAGGAGGAGTTTACAGCCAGTTGGGGGTGGTTCGAGACCTTTATGAAAAGGTTTAGGATCCATAGAGTTTGTGGGACTCAAGCCTTCAAACCCCTAGTGCATGATTTCCTCATCAACACCAGTAACAGAAACATTGCAAATCCCATCTACATGCATAGGAGCCAAAATGATCAATAAATTGATCGTGGGCCCTTAAGATATAGAAGAAGAAGATTAATCCAGTTTGTATTATTTTTAAGGCAAAAAATTCTTGCACTTGAATGATTTGTTACTCCAACAGCCAACAGGGTTCTGGAGTACATAAGTTCGGATTACGAGGCCCTAATGCACTAGCCTGTGTCCTATACCCTGTTGGACAGGCTGTAGTCTGTAGTTGTAAATAAAGTGGGAGTATTAAATATTTGATAATTATATTCTTAATCATAACGATCATAAAGTAGGGTGACCAAATCATGAAGTGGGAAAAAACGGGAGACACCCAAGGAGGATTTGGGGGGATACCCTCCAGCTAAAGGCCTCAGCCGGAAACTGTTTATTGAAATATGCTCATTTTAATGATTTTGAGACCTAGAAATCCTTTTAAATGTACCTTCACTTTTGTAATTTAATTTAAACTCTGAGGCATAAACCAAAACAATAATTTTGCAGTGAATATGGCAGAGACGCTGTCTTTTAAACAGCATCGGCAGAGTGGTGGAGGGGAACAGTGCAGCCATCTCGCGAGCCCATAATCACTACTGGCACTGGCTACATAGCTAGCCAAAATATTACTTGAAGTTTTATTATAAGTTAGGAAGTGTTTTTAAAAATGTGTTTGGTTTTAGAAATGGGACATTTAGTCATCCCGAGAGACTTTTTCGGGACACCCTCGTTTTTACAGGACGTTTGGTCACTATAATAAAAGGACCCGGGTCCAAACAGACGCTATTCGGACTCGGGTCCCTTTAGATTTAGACTAAATGCTATTCAGATGCCATTTGTGGTAGTTTATTTAAGTTAAACTGAAGAAGTAAGTTTACAAACATATAGTATAGTCCATTTCAATTAGGTCCTATCTTTCATTTGATACCAAGTTTTGTCTTATTCATTCACTTATTCATAATTATATATTATAAACCAAAAATAATATTTTAAATATTTTTTTATACGAAGTGTCTACACGTCCGGCGCGCCGGACGTGTAGTGCGCAAGATACACGTCCGGCGACTTGTCACGTGACCACCGGACATGGCCGGACGGCTAGTAGTTTTTATAATTCCAAACGAAGTACGATTTAGTACATCTTGTCTGGTCTTGTGGTAGAGTGGTTGCTTAACGATAGGAATGTTTGAGGATCTATACCGGGGATAGGGTCGTTTTTTTTCTTCCCATTTTAATTAAAATATTTTGTATATATTTATATTATCATGTTCCTCAGCAACAGTAGTTTCATGAGAAGTTTTTAAATATTTTGTAGCAATTGAAATAATTTAAAATGAAATCT